TGGCGGTCAGTTTCAGCAGCGGCTGAATCTGGACGCCAGTTCCGACTTACATACAGATTCAACTTAAGAACAAACCTACAGTCCCTATCTTGTACGTAACCCGGGGACTGCCTGTACACAAATCCTTAAATTATTGAAGGGAAAAGTAGCATTATTCAAGGAACTTAAATAGATATAAATAATAGTTTAGATCCATTCCATGTCGGATTCTCCTACTACTCTCAAGAAATTTTGTTTTCCTTTCTGAGCCAGAAAAGAAAGCTGTATAATTTCCCTCATACTATCAAAGTATCATAGAACATATAAAAGAGTTGTTATGGTGTATGAACAAACAATACTAAGCATATTGTAGAGTGGCATAAAAGCTGATCATTTATTTAACTAACAGATTATAGTTACGTAATGCATCAAACAAAGCATATGCCAAACCAAATACAGTTCACAGTATTCTGTGTGCGTGTATAACATTCTCTGCAGAATGCAGTTAGAAAAAAATAGAAGAAAAACATGTTAAGATAGAAGTTGTTTTCCATAATAGGCTTAATAGTTTTCAGCTAAAAACAAATACATTCTGAATTGACCCCAATTATATTCTTTTTTATTAGCTTTCTAGAAAAAAAAGTCCTTGATATGGAAGACAAGCACACACTTCAGCTGCAGTCAATCAAAGATGAAAAAGAACAACTTGAAATACTAGTATCCAGACAGAATTCTATAATTGAAGAATTAGAGAAACAGTTAGCCACAGCTACGGTAAACAATTCAGTTCTGCAAAAACAGCAACATGATCTGATGGAGACTGTTCACAACTTGCTTACTATGATATCTACACCAAACTGTAAGTGAACTATAAACACTATTACATCAGCTGAGTACCTCTTTTTATATCCGTATATGTTCTATTTTCTCCCTATCTTAGCATCTCATAAATGCATTTATATATTGTATGTCTTAAAATTTTGTACAAGTGAATTACTTGACTCTCTATACGTGAGACTTATCATGTAGAGGCAAGCCCATTAGTTACACATACACAACCCCTAAATACTCCATACAGCTGTTTTCAACAATATCTTAGCTTCATGACTTAAATTGCTTTGCTTTGCCAGATCAGTTCTCAGTAGTCTAAATAACAGGGATGCCAAATGTCATATCTCACATGGCACAAACGCATCTGGCAGCCTTGTCAACCAACTTTCGGCCAACCTGAATCCTTGCATATCCCGGTGGGCTGCCAACGGGGTTTGTATTTTTTCTTCTTTAGGGGAAGTTGCCCTCTTTGCCTCCTCCACTCTGTCAGTAGACCTGGTTTCACCCATCTGTATCAACCGTAGCTGGCAAGATCTGTGTACTCCTACCCTACCAGTATATGGAAAACGGTGCATTGAGACCAAATGCTGAGGTTTATGACTATATGCAAATTATTTCCAGGACAGTCTACAGAATGTTTGTTTTTCAGGTTGACGGGGCTGGAAATATAGCATAGGATGCATAACCTCTAAACTGAAGACATCTGAAATTACCAAACCAGAACAGTTTAAAACAAGTATAGTGTGGATGACTTCAATATTTTCAATTCAGCAATAGTCACAGAACCCAAATTTCTGATAATTTTTAGCTGTCATTAGTAGTTTGGGCCTACAGTTTTACCTGTCTTAAAAAGTTGCAGGTCGAGATGAGGTTCCAGTGAAATCTAAATATTTATTGTTAAATTAAAATGTAAACTGCTTTAAGGGTATTTTCTTGGATGAAAATTGGCATCAACTTTGTAGACTCCAACAAGCCATGGAATATGTAAATTTCAATGCTGGCTGTTCCAGAGCAACCAAAAAGGACATTACAATTATGTTTAATTTTTCCTTAAATTACTAATATCTATGATTATTGAAAATAAGTTTAAAAATCCAATCTTATTTTTCATTTTACACTGTTTATGTAAGCTGAATGAAATCTAGAAATGAAAAGTCTAATTTAGTTGACTTGTAATAATTTCACTGTGCAATAACACTTTGTAGAATTGTACCCAGTGCTTGAGAAATGTAAATACAAGCAATACGTTTTTAAATAAGAAAAACATTGGTTTTGAAAAATCTTGAAGACCAATGAGTATCAATTTTAAGAAACCAAACACCACATTTTAGCCTTATCAACACCTGATAATATCTCCTTGAATACTATTCCTGAAGCTGTGCACACTCCTGCTGATGTTATCAGAAATGAACAATTAAGTAAACAAGTCAGTCATGCTGGCTGCAGCACCATTAAACCTGAAGCGGAAAAAATAATGGCTGCCAACAAGACAAAAATCAACAAGGAAAGCTTCTGAGCTAGCTTACAAACAATAGAATGTGGAAAAGCAATTATAAAGTTGAATGTGTTCTTTTTATATTTGAGGTAAACTAGCTGTTATCAACTTATCAGGTAAACTGATAAACAGGAATAAAATTGTGCAACCGTTAAACACATTTTCAGTGTGCTTATCATTGTAGTGTGTGGGCACATTTTTTCTCTTTGAATAAAAAATAGGAAACACATACTGTACTGCCCCATACCACATCTACCTCAAAATGGTCAAATATAGATATGAGCTAGGAGACTAAATGCCAGAAAACTCCAAACCTTTAATCAGCAAACAAGGAGATACATTTAAGATTGCACTTTAAAATATGGCCAGGCATAAACGGAGTTTTTTTTTCTTTTGTTTACATTTACAAATTCCAGAAGTGGAGTCCATAATGCCCTCAACTTTACCTTTGAACACACAGGAGTGTTCTAGCTGAATGCAGAGATTATATTTTGCTTATTAGCTGAAACTTCTGACTGGCGGTTAAGTGTACCCTCAGATGTACAGATAACTATAGAGAAGACCCATCACTACAAGCAAAGAACATAGCCTCCTATTCAGTACAGCAGTGTGGTTTTTGAACTCTAATTTGTCCAAAAGAACATAATTTCTTACATAGGTCAGCTCTATTTGCTTCATCAAAACCTACTGTACTAGCTAATTTCAATTTAAGAAAGCATATACAGTATTTAGGATTCAGACCTCTTACTGATCTGAAGATATTTGCTCACTTATAAGATCAATACACATTTATACACAGAACATGAAAGGATATACATATAGTTGTATAGATATCTTTATATATAGCATGAAATTTTCTAATGAGAGTTGCAACTGCTTAATTGGAGAAATATGCCTATGTTATTCTACTCAAGTATGCAAACAGGTATAAAGGAATTGATGCTTACCAAGCAGTTATGCTTGTATCTGAATATGAAGCAGTAAAATATCACTGGTGCATTAAGCTGATCTCCTCTGGTGCTTTCCAAGAAAGGGGAAGGGCAAAAAACCTATTTCAGGACTGCAAAGTCAATATACTGTTAATTCATTACTATCACTAATTACTATTATTACATCATGGTAACACTCTCCAAAAAAACCACAAAACCCTGAATTCAGAGACAGGTTTTGAGGGAATCGTTAGTAATCTGAGCTATTTATCTTATCCTGCATCTCTTCTATCTCTATTTTATTTTTAGCAGCCAAGAACAACTTTGTGGCTAAAGAAGAACAAATCCGTTTCAAAGACTGTGCTGAAGCATTCAAATCAGGACTTACAACAAGTGGAATCTATACCTTAATGGTTCCTAATAGTGCAGAAGAAAAAAAGGTATTGTGTTCCCCAAAATCTGTAACTAATTGTGTGTACTAAATTAATTTATCTAGCAAATAAGAAATTTAAAATCCAAATTGGTAACTAGTCTTTAATATTTTCTTCAAGTTTGTTAATGGCAGCTTATTATTCCTCCATGTTGAAATTACTTAGAAAGAACTAGTTGGCCTGAACACTGATGCAAAACACTTTAAATGAAATCTTGGTGCCACTGAAACCAATGAGAGTTTTACCATTGACTTCAGCGGATCCAGGATTACACTGCTCATTTCCACATGAACGGAACAGAACTAAACTAATGCTATTGACTTTGCAGTTCTGCTTCACTCTTCTGTGTTACATATACAACACAACAGCTCTGTATATGTGCAAACAGACAGCTCACATGCCACAGCATAATTGGGAAAAACTAAAAGGCCTAGACTACACTAATCCTGTTTGGAAAAGCAAAAAACAAAAAACTTAACCTTGATAACACTGCTGGAGAGACTTAGGAGGTAACAAAGGAATGCTAGTATAGAAAAGCTATAGTAGAACCTCACAGTTACAAGTCTCAGGGGGTAGCTACTTTAGACTACATTTTAAAAACAAAAAACTTCAACAACTAATAGTCTAGTAGCACTTTATATACTACCAAAACATGCAGATGGTATCATGAACGTTCGTGGGCAAAACCCACTTCTTCAGATGACCAGAGTATAAAGAGTCCAGCTCCAAGAATAAACAAGGGAAGTGGTGGGGAGAGGGAAGAAAAAGGGGAGGGGAGGAAGAAAGAGAGAAACAATGAGTAGATAAAACTTAAACAACAACAATTAGTCTAGTAGCACTTTAAAGACTGACAAAACATGTAAATGGTAAGTAGATAGTTCAAGTAGTTACAGGAGTCTGTTAAGAACCATTAGCACCTCCATTGGTTGGTTAAGTTATTAAAAGGTGGAAGATAGTGTGTGAGCCATCCAGTATCCCTGTTTAGACCATTAGCATGAGAATTAAACTTGTAAATGAAGAGAAGTTCTAATCCTTCTCTGTGTATTTGGCTTATGGAATTGGTCTGAAACAAAACAGTGACTTGGAGATCCATTAATGAGTGTCCAGGAAGATTAAAGTGTTTTCCAACAGATTTTTGTGTGTTGCCTTTTCGGATATCTGATTTGTGTCCACTAATTCTTTCCCGTAGAGACTGTCCAGTCTGGCCAATTGCAGTGGGGAATTACTGGCATTTGATGGCATAGATCACATTAGCGGCTGTGCAGTTAAATGAGCCTTTGATTTGGTGGCTGATGTCATTGGGTCCAGTGATGAAATTGCTGGGATAGTTGTGTGGGCAGAGTTGGCACTGGGGCTGATTGCAGGGGTGGGTTCCAGGATGATTATGATGTAGCTGTGTTGCGTGGTTACTGGAAATAATTTGTTTGAGGTTAGGGGGTTGTCTATAAGCAATAGGCCTTTCCCCCCCAAGGTCTTTGAGAGTGAGGGGTCATGTTGCAGAATAGGTTCTAGATTGTTGATAATGCGTTGTTATCACTCCCTCCCACTCCTTCCTTCTCTTATTTATCCTTGGATCTGGACTCATTATACTCATTATCCAGTCATCTGAAGAAGTAGGTTTTGCCACGAAAGCTCATGATACAATCTATATGTTTTGTTAGTCTTTAAAGTACTATTAAGACTATTGTTGTTGTTTAAGTTTTTCTTATTACAGACTAACTTGGCTACCCCCTGAAGCTTTTAAAAACAAGTAGTCTGGTGGAACTCAGAGTCACAGACACCCAAGTCGGGAATGGAGGCTGTCTGTAACTCTGAAATGGTCTGTATCTCTCAAGACATTACAGACTTCAGCCACAGGGAAGTTGGGATGAGGGCGAAGAAGGAAGCCAGAGCCCCGGTGGTGGTCAGGGCTTCTGACCCTACAGTCTGCCAGAGCTCCTGGTGGGGGGCTCAGGGCTTCTGTCCCCTGGGAGCACCAGGGCTCAGGGGTTTAGATCTGGAGTAGCACTGCAGCTTGCGATTTCACCTCGCAGCTCCATGTTAGGGGTTATTGTTGGTGTGTGCTCTTAAGTCCTTTTTTGGCAAGTATTTAGATAATGGCAATTGTTTGTGTGATATGATTGCACTAATTACGTCAATACTCCTTCCATTATCTCTCAAATCTCCCTTCCATCTCTGGCTAGAACTTGGCAGTTTTACATATTAAATGTCTTCATCTGATTTTAATACGCCACAATTTAATAGGGTCCTGGAATAAAACCATCAAGATCAACTGGTGGACACAATGAAAGTTAGAAAGCACTTGACTAACAGCCCAAGTATAATTTTCAGACCTGCTTCAACAGCACGAGTGCTTTAGGATTTAATCATGCCACCATATATTTACAAAAGGATAAAATATAGAAGTTACAAAAATGTTATCAGAAAATGTAGAAAATAAAAGATTAAAAAGGGGCTGGAGCATACAAAATCTACTAGCCTGGGACCCCCAGGTTCTGTTATGGAGGGGAATGTGGGGAGTGTCTTTCTCCTTTTTAGTAGTGGGCCACATCAGTGAGGAGTTTGGGGTTTTTTTTGCTTCTCACTTACGTGCAGCTCCTGACTGATTTTTCTGTGGGACAGTGGCCCCCGATCCAAACAGGTGCCCCACCTCTGTTCTAAATAATCAACACAATTTCTACTGTTTATGATGTGGATTGCCAGATAGACCGGTAAAAATAATGACTTTTTATTTGCCCAACAGTTGTACTTTTATTTTAGTTATATTTTCATCTTTTCCTTTAATAATAACTTCTGACCCCTGATTGCTTAAAAACAATTTCCAGTGTTACTGATCTTGCATTATTGGTAGATTTCAGCCTAACACAAAATTAAATAAGTGCAGTACAGAGATAGGGTAGGAAAAAGGTTTCCTGACAGGACTTTTTTTCTTTCCCCTTGGGAGACTTTGAAAATGTTCCCATTCACCACTGGGATAAAACTGGGACTTGTTGAAGTTTTCGTGAGAGAAGTTGCATCCCGACTTACCAATAGCTAAGTGGGAGGGTACTCCTGAGGATGGGGAGACTCAGTATATGCAACCTAGGATGTTTGATGTTCTATCTGAGGGTACGTCTAGACTACATGCCTCTGTCGCCAGAGGCATGTAGATTAGGCTACCAGACATAGGAAAATGAAGCGGCGATTTAAATAATCGCCGCTTCATTTAAATTTACATGGCTGCCGTGCTGAGCCGACAAACAGCTGATTAGCTGTTTGTCGGCTCAGCGCGATAGTCTGGACGCACGGGTGTCAACATCAAAGGTATTTGTCGACCACCCAGGTATGCCTCCTGGGATGAGGTATTAATTAACTATTTATTAATTTAAATAGTCTAGAGATGTGACTAGAATAACCAGAATTTCTTCTTTTCCTTGAATGGGAAACTGTTCAAAATTTGACACGTTAGTGTTTTGTACGCATGGGAAGCCAAACAGCAAACATTTAAGTTCAGTCCTAATTCCCCACCCCAGACTGAAGCCCGGAGGCTTAGAGATAAATCTTCAAAGCAGTAAAATACTTGCTTTATTTTTTCTTGCACCTCTGCTGCCACCTGATTACTTCTCGTTTCAGAGAGTGTCTAGTAAGTCCATAAGCCTTAAGTGTTCGTATCTTTGATGTTTTACTGTATACTTAGTCATCCTGAATGTGAGTTCTCTTGAGCATTTAAAGTGCCGGGGAATAATACCTGAGTGAAGAGTACTAGAGAAAGCTTTATACAGGCAGTCCCCGGGTTACATGGATCCGACTTACATCGGATCCCTACTTACAAACGGGGTGAGGCAACCCCACACTAGCTGCTTCCCCCCAGCAGACCAGGGAGATGCGAAGCTAGCGCCCCCCCCACCCCCCAGCAGACAAAGGAGACGCGGAGCGGCTTTTCTCAGCAGACACCTCAGCTTGAGAATAAAGGACTGAGGGAAGTGAGGTGTGGGAAAATAAAACTGACCTCTGGAGAAATGTTTGGCTAGAGTTTCCCCTACAATATGTACCAGTTCCGACTTACATACAAATTCAACTTAAGAACAAACCTACAGTCCCTATCCTGTACGTAACCCGGGGACTGCCTGTATACTGTTTTCATTTGAATATAATCCCTTTAAAGGAATTTTTAGTCAATTATATACATGAATTAGCCATCTCCCATATTTCAGCTTTCACATAAATCACTGAATGAAAAGAAATCCCTGTCCTTGGAAGCTGATTTTAATATAATAAATCCATTGTGTTTATTTTAAATTAAGCATTTATCCATGTAGCTTCCCATTAGTCACATGGTCCATCTCTCTCCTTAGGCTTGTAAGATTTTTTTAAAATCAATATACTTTGATAAATCCTTCTAAAGTATCTTATTCCCCTCAATTTAGTTTCATTTACTTAACTTTTATTTCTCTTTACTCCTTATCTTTATTCTTTTATTTTCTCATTGGCCAGCCTGAAGGTCTGATCTTTAAACCTCAAAAATTCTTGAAATATATATTTAAATTACCACATGTATAATAAATATTTTATTTAGCAGAGAAAGTTAGTAGCCTGCATCAGTTAAGTAGTTAGTAAAAGAACTCTAAATTTCACTGCTTGGGGCACTGATCCTAAAGTCAAAGGGGTTTGTTTTCACGAATAACATTGACTATGAGATTGTTTTATAAGATGAGGTCCCTAGCCAGTCAAGATTGGAAGTAAAGAAAGTTTATTACTGTTTGTAGGCCATTTCCTAATATGTATGTACTTACTTTTTGTTCTCAGTCCATTTCCTTGTGGAAATGAATGAATGAACGAACACACAAAATGGCACCTTGAGAATTCATACATCAGAATCTCAGGGTGACAGCTACCTTCTCACTCCTTATAGCTGCCATCTTCAAAATAGGAGGTGAGGTATGCTGGCACATTCACTTCAGCTTGGAATATTTTTTCTACCAATAAAATTGACTTTAATGGCTATAAAACTGGTAACTTCCAAAACAACA